CTGTAGTTAGATTTCTCGAAGAACTCTTTGTTGAGTTGAACTGTCCCTGGCCGAAACAGAAATGTTCCAGCAGCAATAATACAGTATAGACATATCAGTCTGGCAAATAGGAGGAGATCATCTATGTATTCAATGTCTTGGAGCAGTGGTCCTTAAAGTGGGAAAATTAAAGCTCATTCCTTCTTACCTATCTTTACTCTTTGCCTAGGACAGTTATCTACAGGGGAACTTGAAGCCATTGCCAGGCGGCAATTGCTCTTAATTGCTTAACATCAGGTCAATCGAGTGGCTTGTTACAAGACTTACAGCTGAATTTAACGCAGCTCTAACTTAGTTATGTGTAAAGTCACGATAAAGGACACAAAAATCATGATCTGTGTCTGTAAAATCTTATTTACCAACAATGTTGGAGAAGTGCGAAGCCTGATTTTCAGTCTTATTTTTGTTCACATGAATCCAGAAGACAAAGTATCTTCTACCTATAAAGAGACTAAGTCTACTGAATACTGAAGTTCATCAGGCTTTATTGAAATTACAGAATTTCTGAAAGCTAAATAGCAGAATAGAATCAACATTATGGTAAGAAAAATATATGCCTTATTAGAATGAAACTATTTCGGTCCTTTCATAGCCAACCCTAATAATCCTGAGAGCATCAGATCACCTTCACAGGTATATGGTATATACCTCTTCACAGGTATATGGAAAAAAATACAACTCCAACAGTCTGGGTATGTAACTACCCCCTTGCTTTTAACAGCAAAGGTCTGTACTGTCTGAGGGCTATCAAAGGTTGGGATGCTTCCAAAGACAAACTGTTTATTCAGAGGCAGATTTGATCAAGGCTCATGTTTTCCAAAAGGCAGCTAGCTTACTTAGGCCCTTTTAAAAATCCTTTCCCTAGAGCTCATCCACTGGGCTGTTTGGGCTGCGTATTTTAAGCAGCAGGAAACTGCCAAGTCAAAAGCACAGAATTTGTTTCTAAGAGAAGCAAGGAAAAGGCAAAGAGCAAAAGTTAACACTGCAGATTATTGCAAGCTTCAGAGAGTACAAAACAATTGTTTTAAAGAGAGCTAAAAATACTTTCCTCTAAGAGTGCTGGCTCTTCTGCCAAAGCAATGCAATACACTGAGAAAGATCAGAATCAAAATATTTATACTACTATGAAGAAGCAGTCCCTGCTTTAGAAACTTATTATAGCTGGTTAAATTGGAACTACATTTTTCATAATACAGACAAAAGATTATCAACCACAGACAGAAGCGAGTATTGGCTTTGTTGCCAACTTAATGTTAAAACAGGAAAAAACCAGCACGTTTTCTCTAGATCACCTGATGTAACTACATACCTTGGTGTAACTATCAATATAGGTATAGAACAAAATACAGTTTTACCTTCTAACCTCTTTGCTATGTGACAGAAGTGAGTTGTACTGGAACGCACTCTGAAAAAAAGGAACAGAAGGGACATGCAAACAAATACAAAGTCACCTGGCCTTACTGGAAGCTTTACAAATGTTCATTCTCGTTACTCAAAAATCTCAGCTCAACTCAAAATTCAGTACAACTCTTCCTCTGTAGTCCAAGGGAACACAGAAAGCTAAACATTTATAATGATCAAACTTCAGAGAAACTTTTATGGAAAGTGTCAGTTTCAGCTGCTTTCCTTTGTTAATTTCAAGCATCGGAATATCTTAGGTTTTTTTAAGGGGAAAAAAACAAAGAGAAGTGATTTAGTCATGAATAGAGTGACAATTCACTTTTGAAAATCCGTTTTCTTGCCATATTTAGCTAATGCCGAAACAGTGTCTACAGCAACATCAACAGTGCAGCTCTGAGGCTGCCAATACTGGCTCCAACTGTGAAAAGCACTTTTTTTCTTTTTTCTTTTTTTAAGTCTTTTCTTCACTTTTCCCCTTCCAAAGACACAAAACAGCGGAAAACAGTCAACTGCTTTGTACAGTTGTCAGGCAAAGGAATCTACAATTTTATTTTGTACCACAATTGCTATTTGCATATTAACCTAGCAAGAATTTAATGTAACACATTATAGTATTTGCAACATTGGAGCAATAACTTGTTCATCAATCATGAATTGCAAGCTCCTGCATTTAATTTATTTTTAAATTGTTTTTTCTTTTTTCTTTTTTCTTTTTTCTTTTTTTAAGTCTTTTCTTCACTTTTCCCCTTCCAAAGACACAAAACAGCGGAAAACAGTCAACTGCTTTGTACAGTTGTCAGGCAAAGGAATCTACAATTTTATTTTGTACCACAATTGCTATTTGCATATTAACCTAGCAAGAATTTAATGTAACACATTATAGTATTTGCAACATTGGAGCAATAACTTGTTCATCAATCATGAATTGCAAGCTCCTGCATTTAATTTATTTTTAAATTGCTCTCTTCTGTTGTAAGCCAAGAAAAAAAACCAAAAAATAATACAAGATGGTGCCGGCCACACTTGTGTGCCAAAAAAATCCTGCCTTTAAAGAAGGCCCAAAACTGAGACAGATTACATTAGGTTTTCAGAAAAGTTGCTTAATACCCTCAAAAAGCCAGTTTTCATAGTTTGTTAAATTACAGTAGGCAATTCTCTTTCAGTAAGAGAATGGTAAAGCAGCAAAAGTGGAAAAAGCATTCAAAGTGCTGAAAGCATTTATACTATCTATGTTACTTGATACACTAGCTGCAACTTCAGTTTCTCCCCCCCGAACGTCTCCCTTCTCTCCACACTGATGAAAAGCTGGAACAGAGCAAGACAAACTCTTGGTGCTACAAGCTGGTTCTATGAACTGGTGGGGCTTGGCTCATGCTGCAGTCACCAACAGCGGGTCTGCTGGAGATGTGTTTCCCTTCCCTAAAAGGGAAAGGGAGCTATAATGATTATTAAGGACTAACAGAGGAACTCATATGACAGTCTTTGGTTCATCTGCAATAGCAATTGCCTCCATCCTTCTCTTCCCATAGGCATCAACAAAAAATATCTGCACTTGCCATCCTCCTCTCTGATATATCCTCCATACCTACCCATCTAACTTCTTCCCTGTACCTCAATCCATTAAAAAAAAAGGGGAGGGGGAACACCTAATAGATAATTTCTGACTGTAAATTATGTCCCAGCCTTCAGCCTGTCCTGTGTAGTTAAATTTTAAGCACGCTAGGGCAGGACTTTCTGTGTTAATCTCTGCAACATTTAACACACCAGAATACTGCCCTCAGGTGACCTTGTAACATGCTGTAACAAACACATTACAAACATGCTATCTGACCTCTCAGGTTTGTCACAGTACAGGAAGAATGGACAGATGAGACTGTCCATGAAACTGCATGTTGTTCAAGTGTCAGCATTATCACATGTGGAAACACAACAGGGACAATTCATGTTCATCTCAGGACTGTTGAGAGACTGGTTTCAAGATCAAGTACACTGAAGAACAAGCAAAAGAGGATATACTGAAGTTTCTGCTGCCCTTAAACAGCTATTTAAGATCACCTTACAGGTCTTCAAAAACTTTTAACTTGGTTCTTTATGGTGTTGTAATAACTTTAAAATGCCTGTGATGTACTGCCATGCCATCAAGCCTAGAAGGCAGAAACTTAGATTTGTCTTGGTAAGTTTGGAGCTTTAAAGATACATAAAAGACATTAGCATAGCACAAAGTGAGCCCTAAAACAAGTATTGTCACACTTTAAATTCAGAACATGTCCAGTGTGAATGGGTATGTTATTAGACACTGTATACAAATATAGTAAAGTGAGCTAATAGCATCAGCATAATCACTAGTGCAAAATGTTTTGTCACCTAAGAACAGACAGATGAACAGCAAGTTTCCACATACATGCTGTTTACTTACAAGGCTTCCAAAGAACTGTTTATGCTTTCCTGTAATAGGTAAATCAATACCAAAGTAATCACTGCCTCCTACCTCGGTTAAAGACTCAGCCTAGACCGTGTCATGCTACAGCTCTCCCCAGAACTCCTCACAATAGAAAAGAGCCGCAACTAAAAGTACTGATATTCCAAAAATTATCATACATGTAATACCAGGAAAATTAGTTCTTAATAAAAGCACATTTGTTAATGTTTGACTGTGATTTTCCCATTGTCAGAACTTTCCACTAACATTAATTCCAACAGTTTGGAAAATATTGACAGTAGGTACCTGCTATTCCAGAGAGCAGCATTTGAAAGTTACAACTAGCACAAAAAGTTGGGAGTTGCACTTTCGCTTTTTTTTCTTAAAAGAAAACTGTGACGTCAATGAGCTTGATGCATAAAAATGAACGCTATTAAAGTATGTCCCATTATCAACTGCTTTATCAGCCTATATCTCGGTGGTAGTCTAACCCGTAAGTGGTACTTCATTATACTGGATTACCTCAATCTTTTCCTGTCTTCCCTGCTTGCTCTGAATCAATTGATCAAACTGTTTTCCCTAGAGTACCACAAAAGGTGTTCTGAAAGATCCGAGACACTCAAGAGTTTGCTTCATCTTTAAGTCAGGCTGCAGTTTCATTCACAGGCATTCATGGCCCCTTACTACAATAAAAAAAGAAAAAAAAAAAAAAATTCTTCTCAGCCCCTGGGAATTCAGGTGCATTTCCCAGAACCCCAAAGGTGAGCCTAATCTACTCTTATAAAATCAAGACACTGAGCAGCAAAGATGGAATTAGAGTAGCAAAGATTGTAACTAGCTACTGGTTAATGCGTGGAACCAGGAAGCAGACACGGGGGTGATGTATGTGTTCCTGTAATTACATTCCACTGTTCTTCTGTGCCTTATTTTCCAGTAAATAAAATAGGCAGATATTGCTTCTATCCCATTTCTTCTATCACTTCTTTAAAAGCTCCTGCCTTTAAAGCTGTTGGTGCACATATACACACAAACATCATCCCACCTTTAGTAAAGAAATATACATATACATTTTGAAAACTGGATTTTATTGGAAGTTTATCAAAAACGTCTGAAATCTTATTCAGGAAAGGCACTTCAGACTTTAGTCCCTTTTCTTTTTAGCTTTGGGCTCTTGTGACAGCTGAGATAATTCACTTTCTTTGAATTCATCACAATGCTTTCTTTTCTTTTTCTTTGACTTTTTATGGTCACTTTGGTAACCACTGGAGTCACTGGTAGGCAACACATGTTCCTGTCCTTCTTGCTTATGTTTTTTCTTTTTCTTCTTCTTCTTGTTTTTATCATCACATACTCCATTCACAGCATCTACACTTTGCTCTTCTGCATTTTCCCTCCCAGCGTTATCTGTTTCCCCTAGAGGCTCCTCTGTGACATTATCTCCCCCAGAGTCATTAAAGCCATTTTCCTGGTTGTCAAGCTTTTGAATTTCAACTCCATTTGTACTGTCAGTGACGGTCTCAGATTGTTTGGACTGCATGCTGTAAAGAAATATACAAAATAAGCTGAAGTAGAGACACCTAAGTGTACCTCACACAGTCAAATGTCAAAACTGGTTAAAACACAGTATTTATACCAAGTGGTGAAAAGATAAGCATCTGCTAAAAACAACAACAAATGGAGAACATGGGAGTCTAGTTACACAAAATCATAAGGCCAGTTTATTACTTTCAGGGTAATTTCTATTACCCGACTAGCTTCTTTCTTACCACAGAATCAATATTCTGTTTCAAACCTTAGTCTAAATTTCTTCTCTAAAATGCTGTACAGACTATTTTGATATTTCCTCTTTTCTTGTACTCCTTCATCCACTATTTCCTAATTACACATTGTGTAGTAAACCTTTTTTTTTTTTTTAAGTTATTCACAAACACACACAACCAACAGCCTGTTCAATCATACATGAGACACACTGCTGGCTTTACCAAGCAACTGCCTTGGGGATGTCTATACAGTTAAAACAAAAGGTGATGTCAGAAGAGTCAAAAAAAGAAGAAGAAGAAGAAAAAAAACAAACAAAATCCAAAAACGCAGCAAGTACCTTGCAGCTGAGAGCACTGGAGAAAATGTCTAGGAAGACAAATATGGAAAGAATGCAGTTAAAAATCATGGAGGAGGAGATGTCCCCAGAGGCACTGAGGACAAAATCCTTAAGTTTCATTGGAAGTTCACTAAAACAATCCAGAGCATCCTTCCAGATTAAAAAAAAAAAAGTTATGATTTTGTCAGTAGTAGTCATATTGTACATTTCATTAAAAACATAACCATGTTGGTAGAAAAAAATTGCTCAGCAAACGACTGTTTGAAAAAAACCCAAACATCTGACTGGACCCTTTAAAGATATCACTATTAAGATTTTTAGCAAGCTACTCTAAAAATTTACAGAGGCATAAGCAAAAGGAAGAAAGTGATGCATTTTCTCGTGTCATTTTTGAGATCAAGTATATTCTTATGCTTCACCAAGCATTTAAGTCACCCACATAACAATTTGTGGTTATATAACACGTGTGTGTGTGTGTCTAAATACAAAGGTAAACACTGCGTTCAGGAATTGAGTGTTTTCACTTGAAAAGCCTAGGCACATTCATAAACACAGCTACTCTAGACATTTGGGGTGTTATTTTGAACATGTACTATTTATGCAATCAACAGTTCACAGGTCAGCACATTCAGATTTCTAAAGCTAAAAAAAAGAAAAATCTATTTTTATTTTTCCAGAGAAAATTTCCATGCAAGTGCTTAACACTAGAAAGTTTAGTTTAAGCTAACACAGCTATATATAGACACGGGTTTGTGTATAAGCAAGAAAGCTTAAAGATTAAGATGTTAATTCAAATCATTTAGCTTGGAACAAACCCATTAAATCAGCTAAAAATATTCTCTAGTACAGCACGATACCTGCTTTTAGTGAGTCCTCCTCGAATGAAGAACACCCCAGCTGCATCAGAATCCAAGTGCAATACTTGAAATTTCAGTTCGTCCCCTATTTTAAACCCCAGCTCTTGCCACTGTACAATGGACATTTGTTCAGGTTTAGGGATAGAAGCATTGAAGCATCCATGTATCAGGCAGCCAATATGACTAGGGGCCACTTTATTAATTACACCCTGAAAAAGAAAAAGAATGTCATAGTAAAGATCACCCCTTTAAACGCACACATGATATATATTTGATTTCCTATATGGACACTTTTCAACAAGACTTTATATGCACAAATCGCAAAGTCAATTTACCTAGCAAATAAGCTAACTCTTCTTCACTAAAAATCAAAGCTATTCCTACATACTCTTCATACAATTCCTCCCAAAACAGAAATCAACCTTTATCTGCAAGAGAAAGGAAGTCAGAACATGGGATTTAGCCACAGTGAATACCTGAATACAACAGGTAACTCTTTCCTCACACTACAGCCATCAACTGTGCTTTAAAGCCATTTTAAGTCTGATTTACTTGCCTAAAGCGTCCTTCATGCTGGCACAGCACTACTTAGCAGCTAAAGACACAGATGACACATAAAAAGCTTTTATGTACTCCATTCAGTGGGTCTGACACATTTGCATGTCAAAGTTATTCACCTTTGTTCTCCCCAAGGATGAATGAAAGACACTGAGAGCTTTTCCATTCTCCTCCTAGCCACAGGACCCATTCATTTCTCAACCACATTTAGAAAAACACAAGCTATACTGCAGAAGGTATGGCACACCAACGAATGTAAGCCAACGCTCAACTTATTTTTTCCACAAGTACTGACCCAAGGGTGTTAACAAGCTTAAAGCTCTTCTGTGAGCCATACATTTCCTTTTACTGAAAGGCAGGCTTCAACTTGATGTACTGCTCTTGTACTGGAAGGAAATAAACTCATGAGAACATGCTAAACATTCCTGCCACTATTCAATAAGAACAAACACACCCGTTTGAGAATTGTCTGCTCTCCGGAAAGAAGCATCGATACAAATGATATACAAAAGTATGACAAAGTATTTAACAGTACGTAATCCTTATAATAAAATATTTTAATAACATGTAAGTATTATACATAAATTTAACAAGTATAGGGACAGACGGTACTGGTAGGTGAAAATAAAAACTACTACCACAACTTGCTAATAAACTACTGTAAACTACTCATACACAAATAAACTATAATATAAACTAAAATATAACTCCACCTAAGTCCCAGACCTCCGCTGACGATGGAGATAAGCCAAGCTTTGATTACTTAATAAAAAAACGCCCCGTGAGACGTCAACGCGTTTACCTACCACCAGTTTTTTCCCTCTCTTGGGGCTGAAGATGACGAACTCCGCCTCGATGTTCAGGTGGATGAATCCTTGGTCGTCGTAAATGTCCCCGAGCTCACCCACCACTTTCATGTTGTCGTAAGCCACCGGCACACCCTGAAGGCTGGAAGGAGAAGGGGGGGCACCGTTAGCGGTTAGGGCGGAGACAGCCCCACCACCGGGGCCCGGGGCCCTCCCCCCGGCCGCGGCGGGCCCAGGCGGCGGCGCGGGGCCCCCAGGC